GATGGTGTGCCTGATCAGCACATTGTGCAACTTCATGTTTCTCTGTGTTAGCAATTATGTGGAGTAGTTACATCTATATTCTGCAGAAAAGAACGCTGAGATTCTCAAATTCTCAGCAGAACTGTAACACACTGAATATTAAGTATATACTTTCTTTTTAAAGTATAGCTGTTTCTTCTTTGACATTGATTACTGAATGTCCCCACTTAAGATCCAAAATTAACAAACAAGTATGAAAACCAGGTATCACTGAGACTATTAATGATGTTTTCTACAGGAAAGCATTGTATTTTTTTGTTGTTGTAGAACTGCCATCTATTAAAGCAATAACATTACTGCCTGAATACTGTGAAGTGTATTTCAATGTGAATGGTTTATGGACTTTGAGCTATAAAACTAGTGTTTAAAAAGCATGTTTCATGTGATTAGGCAGTGCATTTAGACTTTTTCCTCGTGAAATAATCTGATCATGTTTATAAAGACTTAGTTTTAAGACTTAAAATCCACAAGGATTTCAAGTTTTTCCCAGGTATCTTTTTTTTTTTTTTTTTTTAAATGTTATTTTAAAATATATTCCAGTGAAATGTCAGTGATAAGCTCTGGTTCCTGTTCAGGAGTAGGTCCTCTGCTCTGATGTCCTGAACAGTTGTGGGTAGTCCCACCTCTCCTCTAGCTGGCTGGTGGAAACCACCTGGAAAGCTGAGTGCTGATTGTGAGCTTCTATAGGAATGCACCCTTGCATTTTGGGCTACTTTGTGTCTTTGCATGATCTTTAGATGCATGGGCAGATAGCCGAGAGCTTTGACAGGTGGCCACTAAGGAAGTGAATAAGGACAAACTTCTTTACTGAAAGAGTGGTCAGGCCTTGGAAGAGGCTGCCCAGGGAAGTGGTAGAGTCACCATCCCTGGAAGTATTTAAAAGACGTGTAGATGAGGCGCTTAGGGACATGGTTTAGTGGGCATGGTGGTGTTGGGTTAACGGTTGGACTTGATGATCTTAGAGGTCTTTTCCAACCTTAATGATTCTATGATTCTAAGGACAGTGAGGCCTGTGTATTGAGGAAAGGAAAAGGTGTTATATCCAGTTCAGGCAGTTGCAGTTTGATAGTCTATCTTACTGAGGAGGACTTAACTTTCACTGTATGGGGGACTTGGTGTGTGGAGTAAATAGTGTCAATTATGGGAGTTGCTATGCAATTTCAAATGAAAAATTGGTCGTGTTGTCTGTATCCCCAGGTACTTCATCCTGCATCCTTTATGTGTAGGTGCCACCTACTGTTTTGATCAACTGAAAAAGACAAAGATTTAAAGTATTAGCAGTTAACCAAAAGTCATCTTATTCCTGCAAAGTATTAGTAACCATAATTGAAGTATAAGATTCAGTATATATGCTTGTGTTCCTGTGAACACTGTTGTTTACAGTTTGGTCTGAATCCAAATGACTTTCATCTTCAAAATGATGAAAGTCATCTTTACAAGATAAATGATTCAGAGTGTCTTTCACTGCTCCTATCTTTGCAAGTGGTAAGGTGAAGGCAAGCAGTCCCTTCCGCCTCCATGATCAGTGTGAGAGCGTTTAAAAACATTAGTTGTGCTTGGCTATTTGGAAGTTTTGGGTGGTGGTGGTATAGTTGGCTCGCATCTCACTTCATCTGTTGTCTGTTTTCCATGAACCAATGTATATCATGGTGATGGATTTGCAGAAGAAGGTCGTCGTATTGCTTGTTTAAAGAGGTGATAGACATGTCACATTTAAATGTGTTTTGTATTCACATTTCAATTTTAAACAAGCGATGACGCTCTGGCAGTATTTTTAGTGTCTTTCCACCATAAATTAGAATTTGAAGACCATCTTTGGAAGTAATAATTATTGCCTCAATTTAAATTTAAAGATAAATATTATTCCACTGTGTTTTGACCTCAGTGAAGTTTATTATCAAGGTGAAAGGCATGCCTCACTGTGAAAACAGTCTTCAAGCAGCAAAATCTAATTCTTGCTTATGTTGACAAACACTACAAAAGATTCATTTTGCGTCTGTGGCATTTTTCTGCATCCTGGCATTTTGTATGATCAAAATGCCAAATTACTCTAAAATGTGAATCTATCATGCAGTCTTCAAAGACAAAAACAAGTTAAAAAAATAAAAGAGCTTCCGTATATGGACAGAAAATACCGATCTTTGCCTTTCCTCTGCAAAAGCAACAACAAATCTGCAAGTTAATAAATCTTCCATGCTTCCTATGGTAGAACATATTTGTTACCTCTTTAGTTGCTTGCTTTTATTATAAAATAAGCCACTGGCAGTGGCAATGATATGACTTCTCTCCTTTCTATTCTTTTGCCCAAATTAAAAAAAAAAAGATACAAATCCCCAAACACTTCCAGTCAGTGCCTCTGTCCATTCAGACTAGATGAGTGGGTTGTATATTCCTGAATCAACATACATCATCTAAACATTTCAGCTTAGATTTCATTAATCTTGGATAAATGTCTGCAATGGAGGATAAAGACTTCTGTATTTACTTCTTTTCCCTAGGGATTTTGAAACAAGTGTGTGTGACCCATAGGAATTATCTATTGGTGCATTACATGGTCAACAGTCTTCAATATGTAAACGTATTAGTAAAACACGCTATAGAACTTTCAGTAGAAATATTGATGCTATCGAAAAGATTAAAATTCTTATAAAGGCTCTTCAAAATAGCACTTCAGAAAAGAATTCTTGGCTTCTTGGCAGTGATAGAAAGATCTCTACAGCAAGAAATTAGCAGAAGGTTCCTTAAGATTGCCATGCATTCCTCCCCCAGCATTTGTTGCAACTGCATAAACCTCTGTGAATCTAACTGGAGAATTTAGATGCAGTTTTGTGACAACAGTTTAATTTTCAGCGCTGTTGTCTTATGATTTCTTGCCTTGGTGGGGAGGTTGTACGGGAGATGATGTAGAGCTTGCAGCAAGTGTCAATATGGTGTCCTAGGGCTGGCTAAAAGATTGCCTAGCCGGTGGCGTGCAGCAGGTATGCCCGCCAGCTGTTTCTCCCTTTTGCACCACATTCATTCTGACAGTCTTAGAAATCTTTGCAATTCCTACCTCCTCTTCTCTGCCTCTCATCTCAGTTTGATAATTGATTTTTTTTTTTTTTTTTCTTCTTCTCTTGACCTGCCTGAAATTGCTTTTTCGGATCTCTTTTATCTTTGGATTAATTACAGCTAATCCTCAGACAAAACAACAGAAAGTCCCAAACTGTATCCTTTATACAGGAGTACTAAGGATAGGAAGACAAAGCCGTTGGGACCTTTAGTCGCTCTGGAGGATGGCTGTGGTTTGGTGTTACGAGTAGCCAGTGGTACTGGAATGGCATGGGGTGACTGGAAGTAGATCGCTAGTGATTTCTTTTGTGTATCCAATCCACTGTTTAGTACACTAGGGCAGTATTTTGAGAAACTTTGCAAAGCTGCTTTGTGATTATTTTATCCATTAGTAATGTTGTCACAATGATGCTGTAAGAATGACAACAGTACTGTGAACACAAGCTATTTGTTAGGGTTTTTTCAATATTTTGCAATGGGCTTTGAAAAACATTTCTAAGGTTTGTTGCTTTCTGTTGAGAGTTATTTCTAACCTTTTTAATATTCTCTAAAGAAATTACTGGGAAGATTTATTTTGTGTGTTTTTTAACAGAGGTGGTAGATTGTATGCTTTCATGCTGAACTTAAATGCTATTTGAGAAATTTTTATGTACTCATTCCAAAGAAAGGTTTGTGAAACAGAAGTAGCTCTGTGATCACAAGGATATGTTTTCAGTATTTGAAGTATGTAGATTTATCAGAATAAATTTATCATAGGAAGTTTCCTAATGTTGAAGGTTAAGAGGTATCAGAAAAGTGTTTTATGTCAAACCATCTCTAGAGCTTTTGGGATTTGGAGCAAGAAATAAGAAAATAAATAAATAAGAAATAAATTGAAAAGCAAAAATAATTTTCCAGTCAGACACATGACTCTTGTTCCTCTGAAGGCCTTGGCAGGTTTGACCAGGTAGTAGGCAGAGACACTTTGTGTTTGTGTGATTAGAGTTGTTCAGGACTTGCCTCTTATCTATATAAACGTTTATTTCATTGTTTGCATTAGAAGCTGCCAGTGAACTTTCTGTTGTCTTCATCTGAACAGAGATGGTCCTCATAGGCACCAATAAAACTGGGCATTGCACTTGCTCCCCCTCAACAAAATGTCATGTAGCCTAAAAAAGAATTAGCTTAGCTGAGAAAAAAGCCTCTTGAGCATTTGCATTTTTGTCTCTCCTGTTCTTCCTCATAATGATTCTGTATGTTTTGCAACCCTTATTATTGGTCAAAGCCTTGTGTCTTTATCTTGGGAACTTGGCAGGCATCTTTCCTCCCATCTTATTGATGGGTATGAGAGGTTCATAGTTGGGAATAGAGGTTGTGCTCCTAATATGGTATCTCAAAGCCCTCTTAGTTAGCTTGTCCAAATGTAATGAGTGTACGTGTTTAGCTTCTTTCTCTTTAGGTGGAACTATTCTTGCATAGTCCCTAAAAGACTACAGATAAATTAATGCAACATAAACAGTATGCTTGCAGCAGTTATAACTCTTCTGCTGATGGGCTATTTCCCATGCTGCCCATAGGTCTAAGGTACTGGCCAGCAGAGATCTAGGTAGTTAAACAAGTGGGTGGTGCCTCTGAAGACTAATGAGGTGATGCAACTTTTATCAGACGGAGCCATTTCTCTGGCTGAAATAGTTTAATGCACATCTTTTAATATTAAGTTCAGATGTGTATAGTGATTTATTTCATTTTATAGAACAGCTAACCATAAGAAAAATTCCTTCCCAAAACAGTGCAGGGCTGGAATAGTTAAATGTTAGTAAACTCAAGCATGCGAATGATAAAATTAATTCTTCAGTTCTTCTGCTGATGTTCATTGATCATAAATACAGATTGAATTACAGTGTAATGACTGTATTTCTTTTTTCAGGACATAAGGGACGCTTTTACGTGATAGAATGGATGAACAGTCACAAGGCATGCAGGGGCCTACTGCTCCACCATTTCAGCCACAGGTACTTTCTTTTTTAAACAGTTACTCAACAGTGGATGTTATAATTTCTTAAATAGAAAAAGAGAGAAATTAGAAAACATTATTTCTTGTGGGGACAAAGAAGCTGTAAACAGATAGAATGTATTCTGGTGGTTTAGAAATTAATTGAATATCAGTCCTGTATTTCATAGAAAATAATTACTTTTCATTTTTGCCTCCTACTGCTTCAACAACTTTGAGGGTTTGGAGTTGGAGTGGGAGTAGGAAGCAAAGATGAAGGCAGTTGTTTTCCTGAGAAATGGTGAGTTGTTAAACGCTATATGTTTTGAAATTGTATCAGAATTACCATATTTATTTCAGACTGTTACCTTCAACTTTCTCTTCTTACACCTCCTGACGGTGATGCTATATGAAGTAGTGCCATTACGTGTTGAAACCAGGCAAGAGAAATTCCCAGTAACTGTAGTTCTGTTAGAAAGAAGATGCATAAGAAATTTAATCTTTGGATATGTGTTGATGGTATGAAACAAAGGATAAAGATTATCTGATAAGAGATAATATTGGGATATTGCTTTTTGACATTTTTAGGAGGTAATTCTTTGAAGGGAGTGCAAGAGCCTGTAGAGGAATACCCTAAAAATATTTACTGTGGTGACCGTTCCAAAGTAAAAGCTGGGCAGTTCTTTACAAAGCTGAAACCTAAATTTTGTAATTTTCTTGTTAACAGCATAGGTGAACTTGTGCCCTTTATTTTACAAAAATTAAGGTGAATTCTAGCTTGTGAAATTTAGTGAATTTACAATAACCAGCTTTCCTTAGCTCCAGTGTTTTTATCATAGCATTGTGATAGAAAATCTGGATTTAATAGCATTTATACCAATGCATTTATACCACTGCAAAACGGTTAGAAATTTAAGACGAATGTATAGCTATGCATACAGATATTTTAAGAAAATACATTGTAATTTCAGAACAAACAAAAAAGAATACTTAAAATTCATATTATGAATATCATAAAGGGTCCCCTTTATTATTACAGTTTTTTTTTCTTTCCTGACTAAAGAGAAAATAGAACACAGCTGATTAAGGTTTCTGTATTTCTGGGAAACCTTCCTATGTTTTCTGTTTGCTGACTACAAACAGGTTTCATATTTCCTCATCTGTCTTCTGAGTATTTGAATACCTGTTTCTGATTCACAGAATCAACTTTTTGAGGACTGGTTCAACTTTGGGAATATTACTTTAACCTACAAATTCAGTTCATTAATTCATACTAGTAAAATATGCTTCTAGTTTTACTGTTCCAAGTAATATGGCTCATCTACAGGTATCCAATTTCCTGTGTGGTAAACTGAGGACAGACCTAAAATCAATACTGCTGTAATCAACTAGACACTTTCTACAAAAGAAGAAATTAATGTTTATTCTCAGCTTTGATTAACTGTCAAGCATTTTCATAATCTGTGTCTCATTATTCTTTTTTTAAATCAATTACTGTGTAGACTGCACTAAGCATGATTTTTTTTCTTGAGACGAAAGGTTTTGGGTTTTTAGATCTGAGCTGGACCTGGCATCAGAATATTTACTGGTTTGCTTTTCAAGGGATAAAGAATAAAGGGGAGCAAACATGCTCTGATAGTCATATTGCCAGCGGGATACTAAAATAGTCATTCAGTGATGTTCTCATCTTGTTAATCCAGATTGTTTTTCCTGTGAGCCAGATACCTACTTTAATTCTTATGGATTTCTCTGCTAATGGAGCATGCTTATGGTGAAAACTAGTAATGAAAAGAGGTTACTGTACTAATTGCTGATATATTTAGGAGAAGCAAGAACTGGAATTGAAAATACAGCATGTTATGAGCAAGAGGTGAGGTAATGATTTATGAAGAATTGTGTGTCAGGTTTTGATAAACCTGTGAATCTCTTCTAATTCTCTTGGTCATTATATTGTGTAAATATATGCTCCTATTTGTAGCAAATTAAATTACCCTAATCACTGAAAATTGTTGTTGAGGAGCATGAGAATATTTAGCCAAACAGTGGCTTAGTCCCAATTAGTTTGAAAACACCATTTCATAGAATGGTTGAGGTTGGAAGGAACTGTGGAGGTCATCAGCCCTCCCACTCGGGCAGGGTCACCTAGAGCAGGTTTCTCAGGACCACGTCCAGACTGCTTTTGAATATCTCCAAGGAGGGAGACTCCACAACCTCCCTGGGCAACCTGTGTGAGTGCTCAGTCACCCCCACAGTAAAAATACGTTTCCTGATGTTCAGACGAAATGTCCTGTGTTTCAGTCTGTGCCCGTTGCCTCTTGTCCTGTCACTGGACACCACTGAAGAGAGCCTGGCTCTGTCTTTTAACACTACCCCCTCAGGTATTTGTACACATTGATGAGATCCCCCCTGAACTTTCTCTTCTCTAGGCTGGATGTTCCCAG